AAGTTTCACTACCGTTATTCAGGTTCATAAACAGTTACTTCCATTAACATTTCTCAAGATCTTTTTTTTAATATATATTTTATTTATTTTTTCAGAGAGGAAAGAGAGGGTTAGAGTTCGAAACATCAATGAGAGAGAAACACTGATCAGCTGTCTCTTGCACACACCCCACTGGGGATGTGCCCGCAACCAAGGTGCATGCCCTTGACCGGAATCGAACTTTTCAGTCACAGGCCAAGGCTCTATCCACTGAGCCACACCGATCTCGGCAAGATCTTATCGGAGACTGTCATTTTTCAACTTGTCGAAAGTAACTGGAATAACGATGTTTTTATTTTCCCAGCTCCCTGCGAGCACATGGGGTAGAACGGGGGCCCTGCACAGAGACTAACAGTGCATGTGCATCCTCTGCCGGCGGGGGGAGCACAGTCCAGAAAGGCTGGACTCTGGTGCCCTACCCTGACGCTAAGCAGGAGTGAGGCAAAGGCTGGGCAATAAATTGTTCTCCAAGCTAACTCATTTCAGTTCCTTTCTCGCCATAAAATGAAGACCTGCCGAGTGTGCGTGGCTGACTCACTCCTGTTGGACCTGGGTGCCCTCTGACCGTCCGGTGGGAGTTCTGGGACTCGAGACACCTGCCGGCACAGCCTGCTCTGTCCATCTCACCGGCTCTTACACAGACCTGAGCCGGGGCCCGGGCAGTGCGGCTCCATTGGCGGCGTCATCCTGTGAACCAAGAAGTCGCCGGTTCCATTCCTGGGCTGGGCTGCAGGGCTCCTCCCCAACAGGGAGAGTGCAGGAGGCAGCTGATGGGTATTTCTCTCATCAATGTTTTACTCTCTCTCCCCCTCTCCCTTCCTCTCTCTAAAAAAATTAATAAAAACGTATCTTAAAAAGCAAACCTAAAACTAGAGAGAGAGTATTGGTGCCCAATCTCTCTCATTCAAGCAAAAAATAAATATTTTTAGATCCATAAAAATAACGTTTATTTATTTCATAAAGAGATTTATTTCTAATAACATTTACTTTTATGTTAATGTAATGCTTATCAAAATTTAATATATGTATCATATTTTGGCCAATTGTGTACCACCACTATAAATCAAAGAAGAAAAATTCTGATTTTAGAGCCTATGGACTCAGAAATTTTTTTTCTTTTTTATATATATTTTGATTTTTTACAGAGAGGAAGAGAGAGGGATAGAGTCAAAAACATCGATGAGAGAAAAACATCAATCAGCTGCCTCTTGCACACCCCCCACTGGGGATGTGCCAGCAACCGAGGTACATGCCCTTTGACCGGAATCGAACCTGGGACCCCTCAGTCCACAGGCCGACTCTCTACCACTGAGCCAAACCGGTTTTGGCATGGAATTTTCTTTTTTCTTTTTTTATAAAGATTTTTTTAATATATTTTATTTTTGTACAGAGAGGAAGGGAGAGACATAGAGAGCTAGAAACGTCAATGAGAGAGAAACATCGACCAGAAACATCGTCAATGAGAGAGAAACATCCCCACCGGGGATGTGCCCGCAACCAATGTACATGCCCCTGACCAGAATCGAACCTGGGACCTTTCAGTCCGCAGACCGACGCTCTACCACTGAGCCAAACTGGTTTCGGCGGTATTTTCATTTTTAATAGATTGGTTAATATAGGTATCAAAGGCCCAGCCAGTGTGGCTCAGTGGCTGCGCGTCAACCTATGAACCAGGTCATGGTTAGGTTGTAGGAGGCAGCTGAGCAATGATTCTCTCTCATCGTTGATGTTTCTGTTCCCTCCCTCCCTCCCTCCCTGAGATCCATAACTTCTTTTTAAGAAGGAAAAGCCCAGCAGAGTCTGTTCCATCCGCAGTCGCTGGCTCCAGCCCCGCCCTGGTACGTGCTCCTCCAGCCGGGTATGTTCCCGGCGGGAACAGCGTGTCCTGGAATAAGCCTCCTCTGAGGCCACGTCGGGCAGAGCTGCAGGAAACGGGTCAGCCTTGGCTTCAGCAAGTACACTCACTCCCAGAGGGCCTGGGCCCAAGGCCAAGCCCGCTCCCTTCCCAGCCCCGCCAGCTGCCGCCCCTGCGGGAGACAGACCGGGAGCCCGCGGGTGACTCAGGCCGAGGGACCGCCTCCCCTCCCGATGGACAGAGGACGCGGCTGCACTCGCCCAACTGGGAGGCTTCACACCGCTGACGCAACCCCCACCCCCACCCCGCTCCAGTCCCTCCAGGAGGGCCCCAGTGCGGGCAGCTCCAGCTCCAGCGCCCACGGGAGCTCGGGCCCTCCCGGGCTGCTGCTGCTCTGATGACTCCTGGGGGCGGGGGGGGGGGGGGGGGCTGCGTCTGCACCCCGCCTGTCTGCCCAGTGGAGTCTCGGCCTTGGGACACGGCTTCCCCTGGCACAGCCTCCCTCCTCGTCTGCTCCTACCCCACAGCACTCCCCCTCTCCACGGTCCCCCCTCTCCAGGGACCAGAGCTTCCCCTCTCCGGGGCCCCCTCTCCAGAGCTTCCCCTCTCCGGGGCCCCCTCTCCAGGGTCCCCTCTCCAGAGCTTCCCCTCTCCGGGGCCCCCTCTCCAGGGTCCCCTCTCCAGAGCTTCCCCTCTCCAGGGCCCCCTCTCCAGGGCAGGCTCCACAGGAAAGGCCAGGCTGGGATAGGCTGTGGGTGTGAGCAGGAGGCTTCCCCTAGTCTTGCTATTACACATCTGCTTTCCTCATGGCTTATACTCAGAAAGTGCTGCTTTGGTAAAAAAGGAAAACATTTGTGAGGAGGAGGAGGAGGAGCACCACCACCAGTGGGCTCCCGGGAAGCGCCCTCCCAGCCGGCTGGTCTCCTCCTCTGCGGCCTCCAGCCCCTGGCACTCCGGGCGCCTCCCGGTGTCAGAGAGGAAGGGAGAGGCAGAGAGAATCAATGACGGGAGAGAATCATGAATGAAGATCTCCTACAGCAAAACCTCAAAAACCAAATAACCGATTCAAAAACAGGCAAAGGGCCCTCACTGGTTTGGCACAATGGATAGAGTGTCAGCCTGCAGACTCAAGGGTCCCAGGTTCAATTCCGGTCGAGGGCATGGACCTTGGCTGCGGGCACATCCCCAGTAGGGGGCGTGCAGGAGGCAGCTGATAATGTTTTTCTCTCTCACTGATTTTTTTTTAATATATTTTATTGATTTTGTACAGAGAGGGAGAGAGTCAGAAACATGGATGAGAGTCATCAATCAGCTGCCTCTTGCACACCCCCTACTGGGGATATGCGGCAACCAGGGTACATGCCCCTGACCGGAATCAAACCCGGGACCCTTCAGTCCCCAAGCCAACACACTATCCATTGAGCCAAACCGGTCTCGGCACTCTCACTGATGTTTCTAACTCTCTCTCTCCCTTCCTCTCCAGGAAAATCAATAAAATATATTTTTTAAAAAACAAAAACAGACAAAGGACTTGGTAGCATTTCTCTAAAAAAGACACATAAATGGCCAAAGGCTGTGAAACTGGGCACCCTCATCCTGCTACTGAAATGTGAACGGAAACACGCTGACGGGTCACCCCACCCCACAGAATAAATGGGATCGGAGGACAGGAAGTCCGTGTTGCCTAGGATGTGGGGGAGGAACCCTCGCCCCGCTGGCGGCCACGTTATTAAAATGGCGCAGCCATCACAGAAGGCAGCATGGCAGCTCCTCAGAAACTGAAGTTATCACATGACCCAACCATCTCACTTGTGTCACCAGGAACCGCGGGCCCAGCTCGGGCGGCCTGTTGCAGCGTCCAATGACGAAGGCGGGGATGAACCGTATCAGGCGTTTATTGAGAAGGCCAGCCCACCGAGACAGGGCGCTTACAAGCATCAAATCCCGCCTACAGCAGGGGCAGGGGCAGGACTGGAAAGGGCGGGGGCTGCGGGGCTGGGGGGCGGGTGGATGGATGGAATGCAGCTGCTGCAGCCCCGGGCCCGCAGCCCTCAGCTACCGCCCGTAGTCATCGGGCGCGGAGGCGGTTTGGCTCCTGGTGGGTCGGTCTGACCGTGTACAGGTGAGTCCCCTCCGCAGTCGCTTGGCACAGGCCTTGAAAAGGAAACTTAGGAAAAACTTTACCCCCTATTCACATGAGTACACTTGTCACAGATTTAAAATAGTGGCTACTTTCCAGGTTAACGCAGGTGCTCTATCGGAGGGTCAGGCCCCCTATCATAGGTTCATACCCGGAAGGCCTAGAAGCGGGGCCCAAACAGGTGTTTGTACCCACGGTCTCAGCGGCCAACAAGCGGGGGCCCTGCTGGCCCGCCGGGCGGGGGAGGCCGCGGGGAAGACCACCCCTCTCTGCCTGGCTTTCTCCTCACCGCTCCCTCCCGGTCTGTTCACCATGGGGAGCCGGGGAGGTTGTCTTAAAAACTCCAGGCAGATCCCATCCCCCGCTTCCATCCCTTTTCCTGGAGTAAAAGCCCCCGGACACCGCTCGTCCTCCTGGCGGCACCTGGCCCCACGCCCGGGCCGTGGGGGCTTTCCTGCCTCGGAGCCTCGGCGGCTGTGCCTCCCCCAGGGAAGCGCGTCCTCGGGCGTCAGGCCGGCTCCTCCCGCCGCCCCGGTACAACGGCGGCCGTCCCTCCGGACTCAGACCCTGCGCTGCCTTCCCTCCCGGTCCGGCTCGGCATCCCGCCGGCGCCCGCTCCTCTCGGCCCTCCCTCCGGGATGCCGGCTCCAGGGACGCGTTCCCCTCGCACACGCGGCATCCCCGGTCCCCGCAGAAAAGACACCGCACTTACTGAGCGACACGGCCCGGGGGGGACCTTCTCCCGCCTCCGGAACTCCTGCACCGCCCACCTGCCCCGAGCAGCACCCACCGTCCCTGGGGCTCCCGCAGCCAGCCCGCCGGGTGACTGCGCCTCACCCTGCCGCCGTTCCGACCCCGCCGGCGGCGCTCCCGCGGGCTCCTTCTGCGCAGCCGCGGGACGCGCGGGGCATCATGGAGCTTGTAGTCCCTCCCCGGAAGGACTGCCGCCCAACCCGGCCGTGGCGCCTCCCCCGCACCACAACTCCCAGGGGGCAGCGGGACGGCGCTCTCGCAGCGCCCGTGTCGGCCGGCCACCGTGCGGCGGGTCCCAGCGGCCGCCGCGGGGGAGGGGCAGGAAGATGGCGGACTTGGTCGTGGGCAGAGACAAGTGCGGGGAGCAGCGCCTCGTGTCGCTGCCCCTGTCCCGCATCCGGGTCATCATGAAGAGTTCGCCCGAGGTGTCCAGCATCAACCAGGAGGCGCTCGTGCTCACGGCTAAGGCTACGGTGAGCGGGCGCCGTGCGGGGAGGAGGAAGGGCGGGGGTGGGGGCCGCCGGGAGCGGCCGCGCTGCGCAGTTCCGCTGGGCACGCGCGACGCCAGCTCCCCTTCCGTGGGCTTGCGCGTGCGCGCACTTCCCTCCACGCCGCGCGCGCCCCCGCGCTCCCTCCTTCGCTGGGCCCCGCCCCCAGCGCCGCTCCCGTGCTCCCCCGCGCGCCCTCCTTGGCCCGCCCTCAGCGCCGCTCCCGTGCTCCCCCGCGCGCCCTGGCCCCGCCCACCCCGTGCGGCTCCCGCCTTCCCCCGCGCGCCCTCCCGGCCTCCCCCGCGCGGGGTCAGCGGGGCGGTGTCGTGCTTCCCCGGCCGAGGCGCCGCGCTGCACCCCAGAGCCTGCCCCCTTTTCTCGCTTTCGACCTATTTCGTGGTTTTGGGGCCCTGACTCCCCACGCGAAGCTCGAGGCTTCCAGACGGGGTCCGGCCCGGGGCCCGGGGTCTCCGCACCTCCCCCCACGGGAGGGGACCGCGGGACGCGAGTTCACAGCCTGCCGGCCCGAGCTGGGGGCGGGGAGGCGGGCGGGAGCCCGGGCCTCGGTTGCTGGAACTGCCCTGGGCAGAGTCTCCGGCTCCTCCTCCGGCAGCCCTGCCCGTGCTGGGCCAGAGCTGGGGGCGGCGGGAAACCCCACATTTCTTGCGGGTTTTGTGCCGAACCTCGCTTTCTTAGAGCCAGGGAAATGCCCCCTCAGCGTGGACGTTGGGGTGCTTGTTTCCCGGACAGTCTGGTCCTGGGAGAATTCAGGAAGCAAGATTTAGCTCCGGCCGGGTTTGCTCAATGGATAGCGCCTGGGCCTGTGGACTGAAAGGTCCCGGGCTGATTTCGATCAAGGGCATGTGCCTGGGTTGCTGGCTCCATCCCCAGTAGGGGGCGTGCAGGAGGCAGCCGATCAGTGATTATCATCACTGATGTTTCTCTCTCCCTTTCTCTTTGAAATCAATAATTTCTTTAAAAAGATACACACATTTATGCAGCAGGCACTGGGTTCCTCACTAACTGCTGGGTGGAGTGAGAGGTGCAGTGCAGGCCCTTGCTTTAGGGAAGGTGTGTGGGCGAAATAGGAAATGTGGTCTGTTCTGAGCTTCCGGTTTTTTACTGTTTTATTTATAGGCGAACCACCTACGACAAAGTATTCCTGAGCCAAACAGTTTTTGAATGGTCTCTCTTTTTTTACTGTAGAACTTGGTCATTAAACGTTTACGACTCATTGTTTCATTTTAAATATTTTTACCGAGTTAAAAATCTAAAGTAAACTTTAGGGAAATGCCTGCTTCCCCCCCAACCTTGATACTCGGTTTCTTTCTGACCTCATAGCTCTCCTTTCCTCGGTCATTTCCCGTCATTTGGAAACCAAGATAGTCTGCAGCCACCCACACTCAATGTAATGCAAATTTTTACACCTTTCACTTTACCTTTTCATTTGTGTCAGGAACTCTTTGTCCAGGATCTAGCCACCTATTCCTACAGACACGGCAGTGGGAAAGAGAAGAGAGCACTCACCTACCATGACTTGTCCAACACTGCAGAGGAATCGGAGACGTTCCAGTTTCTGGCAGGTAACGTACAGCCTTTCTCCCTGCTTTCCCTGCGGGGAGCACTGCGCTGCTTCCTCCGGGTGCCAGGGTTAGCCGGGGCCTGGCACCGTGTTGCCTGTTGAGTCTGTTTGTAACGTGGCTCACCTAGAACGACAGTGAGGTCAACAGCCTCCAAAGGGGGCGTGTGGCCCGCTAGAGAGCGTGGCAGACCCCCCCTGGGACTTCTTGCTGCTGAAGGGAAAGCCTGGCTGGCCGGTCACGTGGCCCCGGAAATAGAAAGTAACTGTTGTGGAACAGGCGGCGTGGGCCAGGGCTGAAAAGGGCCAAGTCTCCCCCGGGCCGGCCATCCTGGCACCGCTGAGCTGCTCACAGGCTGTCCACACAGAAGCACGGGGTTTGCATCAGTGACGTGGAGACGGACCTTTCGCACTGGTCAGGGCACCACCCAGAACGCAGTCTGGTCCCATCTTGTTTCGGAACCTGCTTTGGAGGTCGGGCCGGAAGTAGTACGTTCGGAATGTGCATGGTTGTACGTAGTCTACCAGAAGCAACTGCTGATGCTAGCTTTCTGTTTTTAAGATATTTTACCGAAGAAGATACTAGCGAGTAAGTATCTGAAGATGCTTAAGGAGAAGGAAGAGGAGGAGGAGGAGAATGAGAATAACAACGATGAAAGTGATGAAGCAGAATCCTAAACCCCAAACGAAATGCTTTCCAAGTCCGCCTGGTGAGGCCCTCCAGGACGAGCCCCGCACTGCGTCTCAGTCTCCTCACCTTCCAGAGGCTTCCAAGACACTGCCCTCCTCGGCTGAGACGCAGGGCCTGAGGCACCTGCACGCAGATGGCCAGAGCAAAGCTCTGCCCACAGTGCAGCTGGAGGGCACCAAGCAAGAGCTGCCTGACCGCCAGCAGCAAGTCTGCTTAGCTTTCGCTTCGGGCCAGGTTCCAGAGCTGCGTCTGGTTCTAGCTCAATGTAGGTTAAGTTACATTTGTTACCTTGTGTGTAGTGAGTTACATTGACATTTTTGTATTTCAAGAAAACTTGAATGTTTGTTTAAATACAGCATTTTTAACTGTAAAGACATAAAAAGTTTAAATTACAAGTTACATGTATTTTTACAGTAAAATGCTCCAGATCTAATTTTAGAACCCTCTGTTGTTCTAATGCCTCACTTATTATCTGAGACTTCTGTGAAATTTTAAAATATGCATTTCTAGCATTTTTATTCCCAGAGGAAAATTTTAAGTCAAATCATATATTCAAAAAAGAAATACTACCTCTGCATAAACATATTTTTCTTAAACACTTCAGAGTCTTCCGTATCTGGAAGGTACAGCTCCTTTACTGTTCCTCCTTTACACCTACAGTAGCTATTCACCATCCACAAGAGGGAACCATAAGCTCTATTTTCTGGCTCTCATCCTTTTCATCTTTTTTTTTTTTTTTTTTAATTGAGATATTTACATCCAGTAACAGCAGCCTTGTTCAGTCTGTCGGCTGTGTAAGCAGTCAGTCCTGTCACCCCCAACAGCCACATGCCCCTCAGAGGGACTCCCTTCCCCTACTCCCAGGCAACCACTGATGTTTTCTATCTCTTGTTTTTAAAGTTTATTTTTTAAAATAAATTTTAAAATCCACTTTTTGGTGTAGTTCTGAGTTTGACACGTGCTGTCATAACCCTGCGATTATGGTAACAGTTTGATCACCTCCCCCCAAACGTCTGCGAGGCCCCCCTCCCTCCCCTCCCCGGGGCAGCCGCGAGCGAGCCATCCCTGCAGCGGCACCGGCCCTTTCTGAAACCGGCTCCGTGGAAAGTGTTTTCAGTTCTGTGGGCTCCGTTACTCAACCCTGCCGTCGTACAGGAGCAGACGGAGATGTACCTGAGGAAGGAGCGTGGCTCTCCTTCAAGGAAATTTTCTGGATGCTGACATTTGAATTTTGGATGGTTTTCATGGGTATAAATTTAAAAAAAAATTTTTCAACCATTTAAGAATGTGAAAACCATTTTCATAGGTCAACCAAAAGTCACAGTAGCCCCCCCAGCTGGTTTGGCCTGCAGAATGAAGGGTCGGTCCCAGGTTCGATTCCCGTCAAAGGCACAGGCCTGGGTTGTGGGCTTGATCCCCAGTGTGGGGCATGCAGGAGGCAGCTTGTCAATGATTCATTCCCATCATTGAGGTTTCTCCCTTCCTCTCCGAATTAAATAAAAAGATAGACTAAAAAAACAAAAACCAACCCACAGTAGCCTCCCGACTGGCTTTCTGGCCTGTCTCCCCGGGCCACGGAAGGACCACAGTGTGGCTGCGGCTGCAGTGTCGGCGGCCCAGGCCCATGTGCTGAGGGCTTCCGTGCATGGAGACCCCGTGTCACCGGGTTCCGGGAAGGGGTGAGTCCCAGCTTGGGTTGTTTCCAGGTTTGACGATTACAAACTGGCCTTACTGGGAACGAAACCTCTGCCTGCGGTAGCACTACATCCTCGCATCCTCAGCCACTGTTTGCTTTTCTCAGTCCAGCCGTCCCTGGCCTTCCCCTTTCTATACAGACCGAAGCCAACCAGCCCAGGGAGGCCCAGGACTCAGCCGTGCCAGTGCCGGCAGCCTCAGCCAGGCGGGGCCCGGCAGCCCGCCAGCTCCGAACCCGCACATGGACAAGTCTGGTTCTCAGGACATGCAGCCAGGGCTTTGGTCTGGGCTCAGTGGGATGGTCTGCTTTTATCCTAGAGACACCTGTCCTACCATCCAGTCCGCTCCTGCGGCTCTCACCCCAGACTCCAGTCCTCCCGGGCAGGGCCCAGCTCTGTTCAAGGAATGGGTGAGTCGGACGCTCCCGGGGGCCCGCGGGCCACTGCCCTGGGCGGTACCAGTGAACACAAGCAATGGAGACCCTCAGGAGAGGCAGCTGTAAATACCAGGAATTTTATTTTTTGCTGACATACTATGAGGCAAAACAAAATTGACACCATACAAAATAACTTTATAAAATATCATTCACATATTTTATCGGATTTACAGCATTCTGTGCATGTTTAGGGTTATGTGAGGTGAAAAAACACTATGCCAAATTTTTAGTATTAGTTTATATACACACGGTAAGAAACAAAACAAATAACTGTTAGGGTTTCCATGAATTTATTGCAAAAATAGTGCAAACTACTTAACCTAGGAAGCTGTAAAACAAACTCGAAAGGACCCAGCTAAGCTTAGACACGACCGCGTCTCTGCCTGGAGCTTTCTCCACCGGTTTCGCTTCTGTCCATCCAGACCACGCCCCACCCGCTTGGTTAGGGGGGAGCAGGGGCGGATGCAGAGCCTGGCTCCCCGGAGGCCGCTGCCCCGCTTCCCGGGGCCAGCAGCTCCTCTGGGATCATGCTACTCACTCAGTGGCGACCGTGTGAGGTCTGTCTGTGTTGAAAACGTGTGAGATGCCACGATGGTTAAGTCTGACCTACGCAACGAGTTACCCAACCTCTGCATGGCACGGAGACCCGATCCAGGACGCAGCGCAAGCGGGAGGACCGGAACGCCGCTGCCTGCCGGCACCCTCTCTCAGGTGTGGCGGGCAGAGGATGATTCTACTTGTGGGCAACCTTTGAACCCGATGGTGAAGTTAAAAGAAATAAAAGCCATGGCGTCCCTACAAGGGCCATTCTCGGGCTCTCTCAAAGTCTGTCGGGGTCCGAAAAGCATAAATCTAAACAAAACGGAGCAGAACAGAAGGCTACACACAAGGCTAAGGAAACAAATGCAGCACATTCAGGCTCTTTTTCTTGAGGTACCTATAGAAGTCCGACACCTGCCCAGGTACTCCCGTCAGGAACACGACGCTTCCTGGCCAGCCCATCGCAGGGCAGCTATTATTACTGAGAAAGTGCAACAGGCCCATCCGTCCATGCAGCATAGAGGGTGACTCACCACACACAGCCCACGGGGCGGCCGGGCGGCGTTCACACCAAACACGTTCGCCCAGAACTGCCCGATTCGGAGGCCCTGCAGCAGGACGCCGCCCAGCCAGCCCCTCAGCTCTCAGTCTGCCACTGAGGAATGTTGGCTCTTGTCAAATTCAGAGATCTCTTCACAATAGTAAAACTATGCACTACAGGAGCGATTCCCTTGAATTTTTATTATTGGTATAAAATCAAATTCTTAAGACTCCAAAATATTGTGTTACCTCCCAAGGATTAAGTTAAAAAAGATCGCCAGAGTAGGAAAAGTCGAGAGTTGTAAACTGCCCAATACAAAAGTGTGGAAAGTGGCCCATCCCCTCTGCCTCCGCTCCTCCCTGGGACCCTGGGCTGCCGGCCGCTGCTGCAGGCCTCCCCCCACAGCCTAACGGCACTCCTGCCCGTGGTGGAGATGAAACCCAGGAAATGAACGTGCACGCCAGCGGGAGCAGGGCCGGACGGCGAAAAGCAACGACAAGAGGACGCGGGCTGGGCTGGGCCGCCCCGTCGTTGGCACGGAAATGAAGTGACAGCCACACGTGTGTGCATAGGAGAGTTTGGGATTTGTTTGCAAAATGTGACATTTTCTCTTGGACATAATCTTTTTCTTTTTCCACAAGAAGGCGGTTGGGAGGCCCGTGTGGGAGTGGTTGGCTGGGTGTCTCTCTGAGGCCGAGGCCAGCGGCTCCCGCCCACCTGGAGGACAGGTGCTTCATTTCATGCGGATCTTGTTTTCAGCGCATCGGGATTCAACACAAAAGGCACAAAATAAATAAAAATATTATTAAATAAACGGAAACTGTGATTTCAAGCTTCGTGTGGAGTTTACAGCTCACGTTTGGTTACCTTTTCCAATTTAATTTGACAGGCTTAGTAAATAGCACCCAACTGTGTAGTGAGGTAGATCCACATTGTAGAGAAAGCTGGGTCCCCTCCATTTTGTGTCTAAATTTCGATGCTTTTACAAAAACAAAAATCCATTGAGTCACAGGCAGAAGCGATGGCAGGTGGCACCTGAAGGAAGCTTGGAGCGTGAGCCAATCAGATTCCTGCCCAAATCACTCTCCCCCTCAGCCAGGCATCCGTCTCAGGCTGGAGGGGATCCAGACATTAAAAACCACCCGAAGGCTTTCAGAACGGGCCTCTGACTGACTGCCACAGAGAAACACCGAGTCTGTGGTCCGTTCTCACTGAGTGATGGCACCAGCCAGGAGAGAGGGAGGGAGGAAGGGAGGAAGGGGGGGGAGCGGGAGGAGATGGAGAGAGAGAGGCGCGTCACATAACGTTTCCCTTTGTAACTCTGGAGAAAAGACAAGTTGAACTGCGAGACAGCGTCCTGGCCTGGCCAGCTGACACTCCGCCTAGCATTCTGCGTGCTCTGAGACTCACAAATGGAACGTCGGATTAAGGCTTAATCTGAAGGGGCCTCCCCGCCAGCCTCGCGCTGAGTGCCGGCGGCCTCCGGACACAGTGGCAGGAGCCGAGGACCAGGGCGGGCCGCAGAGGTGGTGCAGCAGGCCTGTCGCTCCACAGCTGTTTGCAATCCATCAGCGAACTCTCGAGAAGCCTCGCAGAGAGAGGGCGACCGGCAGAGATGCTAGCTTACACGGGAACTGCCAGTCCACACTCGGCACCCGCACGGGCCTGGCAGCGGCTGGCTCGGGGGAGAGTAAACTTTATGGTCGAAATGCATTTTGATTCAAAATGTCTCCGAAAGGGTTTTGTTGGGGGGGAGGGGGGTTAAGATCTACCTAGGGAGCTTCGGAATTCATTTTTGGTTCTTTTTCAATTATTTTATAAAAATAAAATAAAACTAGAAAAGTTGATAAACTCAGGGTTCAAACCCCTCCATACATATTAGGTGAGTAATCGAAGGTGCCAGAGGTAAGAGAATTCTGGATTTAGACACTACGTTCTTCTCTTGTATTGGATGAGGAATCAGCCACTTTGCTGCACAGAACCTTACTATTATCCTCTGAAAACTGCTTCCAGCGTGAAAGCGCACCTGTCTCCACGGCTATCCACGCGAGCTCCGCCTCCAGCAACGGCATCGGGCCCTCGCGCTGACTCGGACGCAGGGCCACACCCCGGGCTTTCAAGAGGCCCCCAAACTCGGACGGCGCTGCCCTGCGCCTTGCTGAGGACGGAGGGCCAGGAGGAGCCACCAGGAAGGGCTTCCTATGGTTTGTGAAATAAAGAGGAGGGACGATCACCCCACAAGACCAATCACATCGCCCCTGACACACAACGCGGCTGCAACCAGACCACCAGCGGGGGCAGAGCCCACCGCCCGGCGAGAGCGAGAGCGAGAGCGAGAGCGAGAGCGGTCACCGGGCTGGCCACCGGGGTCCTGGCGGGCAAGAGACGCCACCGCGCACGTTCAGACGAGACTCCGATTCCTCTGAAAAATCCAGCTCGTTAGACTAAGCACTCGGGAGCGACTGAGCACCACCACTGGCTCAGGCCACGGCCTGGCCGGCGCCTGGAGTCCCTCATGATCTGACCCGAGACCGCACACACAGCAGCACCTTGGACAAAGTCAGGCGCTGAAGGGGCGTCAAAGCGGGAGGCGACGGGGGACGCGCAGGCTGGCCGCCCGTGGGAGCGCAGCCCCGCAGGCTCCCCGGGCCCCGAGGCCCAGGCTTCCGAGACAGGAGGGCGAGCCGGGTCTCCCAGGCCGCCCCTCCCATCGGGTTCCCACAACCTCCAGGGTCCAGGGAGCCTCGGGACCCACCCGGCCCAGGGGTGTGGCAGGACCTTGGAGAGTCAGAGGAGCTGGGCCCCGGGGGAAGTCAGTGCCGGGCGTCAGCCCCGCTCTGCACGGTCAGCTCCACGGGGGGCACAGCGCTGACCAGCCCGGAACCGGGAGATGGGTGAGATGCGGCCTCCACCCGGCCACTGCCCAGGGCACTCCCGATCTCACGCCTAACGCTCAGTGCCCAGGCAGAGAGAAAAGTGTTAACAAAAGCACCAGTGGTCTTCGTCCTCTCCTTAACCACTTCCAGGAACGCACACGTGGGGGGGAGGGGGTCTGATTCTGGGGACCCAGGCACCAGGGCTGATGGGCGGATCCCGCTGCCTGTGCCCACGGCCGATCCAGCAGGGCTGCTGTGCAGGCACCCCGAAACACCGGTGGGGTCCTGGCTGAAAATGAGACTGGCCTGGCGGCCAGCGGGCACCCCACGCCCCTCGGGTGGACAGTGGGAGCGTCCTGAGGACCGAAGGGCTCAGCTCTCCCAGGCCGGGCCCCGCGCCCAGACGCCCGGGAGCCTCCGGCCCGAGGCCAGGGCATCCTCCCCCCGGACAACGCCGCTCGCCACGATCGCTCACGCTGAGGACGTGCGAGCACCAGGGGCCCCGAGGAAAGAGCCCGGCCGTGTGGGCAGGGACCGGCTGCAGGGCACTCAGTTCTGAGCCCGCCCGGGACGGGCTTCCTGCGACGACCGGGGGAGGGGGACCCCGCGGCGGCCTCATGCCTCCCACACGGCCGGGTCTCAGCCTCGCTCCTTCTCAGAAGGGAGTGCCCGGAGCACAGGGCTCAGGGTCAAAGGTCAGTTGGCATGCCTGCAGTGGGGTTTATGGGAAGTGGGGTCCAAGCCCTTGGTGAGTTCACAGAGGCGGTGAGGAGGCGGCGGGAGCAGAGGGCGCCTTTCCAACCCAGCCGTGGGTAAGGCAGGAGGATGTGCGTTCTTCCTCAGAGCAGGCCAGCCCTGGCCACGTGGACACACTCCGGCCACACCAGCCCTGGCCACGTGGATGGATAACTCCATCCATGCCAGCCCCGGCCACGTGGACACACTCCGGCCACACCAGTCAACACTCAGTCTACAGGGAGGTGTTTGGCCATTTTCAACATGGACGGTGAGGCTGAGAGCAAACACGAACCTACAGAGAACTCAGAGGTAGCCTTTATCTGCATTTGCTTTTTTTAAACTAAAAGGTACTTAGAACCACCTTCTGTAGTGAGCTGGCTAAGCCAATACATTCACTGGGGACAGTCACATGGTGAAACGTACCCACAAAGCACTGGGTGAGGGCCCCGCGAGGCATCGCACGCACCAGGAGGCCGCCTGGAGCAGACTCCGGGCGGCCTGACCACAAGCAGACTCCCACCGGGAGGGCTGTGAGCAAACCGGACTCACCTGGCAAACACGGCCGTGACCTTGCGGCTTCACAGACAGCCGACCAGAGAAGCCTGGAGGCGGCCCTCTCGCCGAACACGGGCCACACACACACACACACACACACACCACACCCCACACACACACCACACACGCCTGCTCTCCGCTGGGCCCCGTGCGCCTGGGGTCCCGGCAAACCTCTTCCGATGGCCCCTGGGGCCCCGGAGCACACGCCCCCTCCAGGTGCGGCTCCTCAGGAGAGGAGGCCCCGGGCGGGCGCAGGCGGGAGCCGCTCCGAGCACGGGCACGGGTCCCGGGCTATGCAGTTCCGGCGGCTCCCACAACCCAGACCCGCTTACTTACAACCAGCCAGACAAGCACAGCGGACGGGGGCCGGACATAACTACAGAAGGAGGTTGTCAGTGCAATTATTTTAGCTAAAAGTTTTCCTTACAAAACAGACTGTGTGTGATGAGAACAGCCCCGTGGCGAGGCGGCCACGTGACGCCCACGCTGACACGCCACGCAGCCACGCGACAGCCGTGCTGGGGCGGTAAAACATAAATAAAAGAGTTGCATCTGAAAGTGAGCGCACAAACACGAGGAAGCTGCTCCTCGTACATTCCTTCTCGGGGAGAGGATCAGAGGCCGCGGAGTGTCTATGGCTGTCCGGGCCCCTGGGATTGTCCAGTCGGGGTCGTGCCAACTTCTAAAGTTCCTCACATGGAACCGCCTTCGTGAGAGGAAAATGCCCGTGAAAATCCTGTAACTGTCCATCCACTCAGTCCCGCCAAGCCCCCAGCCCAGCCCAGCGCCCGGGGCTCGGAGCCATCCCGGCCCCACAGGCCCCGGGGTCCCACCCGCACGGCGCCTGGCTGGCCAGCGCTTCACATACGGTATCAAATATAGAATCTGACCGGGAAGCCGCCCGCAGAGCAGTGTGGCATACATCGCTGCATCTGTGTAAGAAAAACAATTCACCCAGAAACTTACATTGGCGGCTTTCAAACATCAATCGGCCGGCAAGCCTCAGGTAAACTTTAGGCGACGCAGACATGCTGGGAAATGGTTTCTAGCTGACAATCGGTGCCACGCGCAGGGCACCACACGGACAGACACCAGAGCAGAAGGCAGAAGGACAGCACCGGGCCGAGCACCGGGCAGCACACACAGCACGCACCCGCGGGCACAGGCCCTGCCGTCCCCGTGAGTCCGGGGCAGCCAGAGGTCCCTGTGCGGGGTCTCGCCAGGAGAGCTTTTAGAGACGAGACAAGTCCCAGGTTTTCTTTGACACGAACCCCGACTTCTACATTTCATTTCACATTCAGTTTGCTTCAAGCAAGGCACACCTTACACAGTGGGTCGGGGCGCAGCCAGCCAATGGGGTGCCCCTCCTCGGCCGAGCTGAGGTGGCCCCGGGTGGGGGCGAGCAGTCAGAGGACAGCCGGGGCCCCCGACTTCCAAATGATCGGGGCCTGGATGATTCTACTGCCCAGGCCTTCCGCCGCCTCACTCACAGTCCGTCCGCCGAGGGCTCTGGCTGCAGTGGGGGACGCTGTGGACCGCTGTCTCAGCCATGGGACGCAGAGGCGGGTGCCGGGCCTGCGGGCGGGCGGGCCGTGGACGCCCGGGGAGCGTGTACAGACGAGCACAGGCTGAGGGAGGAAAGTGCGGTGGCGCCGAGGAGGACGCTGCCACGAAGCGATCTGTGAGGATCAGGGGTCGTTTTCTGCCGGTTTCAGCTTAGAGCTTCATGGCCGCGGCCCCTCCGCAGGCGCTCGACGGGGTCCCCGATGCCAGGCAGCCCGGCCGGAGGCTGTGGCGAGGCCGGGAGCCGGGCCACGCGATCCCGTCCACGTGCGACAAACTCCTTTGAAGCGAACAGGGTTCAACGGTCCTCAAAGCAGCTGGAAACCGGCCAACTGGAGAGCGTGTGGGCGAAGGTCCCTCCTGGGTGGGAAGGCCTGGACGGCCAGGAGCGGGCGGGGTCCGAGCGGAGAAAGTGCCACTTGCCAACAGGACAGGGAGCCACGACGTTTCTCAGAGCAAAGGCTTCTGTCGTTTGAACAGACGAGATACAGCAAGAAGAGACGACAGCACTAAGGGACACCACACGCACACGCACATGCCACTCAGCGTGGACAGCGTTACACACACACCCGCCCGGCACCGCCGCCATCGGCGTGGTCCAGGGAGCCCGCGCTCCCGCCCCCAGCTCGGAGCAGACAGGACATGGTGGGCGCCCACGCCAGGGAGGCAGCCCGTTGGGACCCCCCCACGGCGCCAGAGGTAAGTGTGGGCGGGCGGGGCGGCCGTCAGCAGGGACAGGAAACAGAGCACAAAGCAGCACGGAAGGCCGTCTCCTTCCTCGAGTCTACACGGAGCACGGCCGGACCCTGGAGAGAACTGCTGCCGGCAGAGCCACGCAGCAGAGCCGCCGCTGGGCCTCCCGTGCCCGTGGCACCCCTTAGTGCAATGGTTTCTGGGGTGGCCACCCCGCCGGGGCCCGGAGGGCAGGTCCCCGCCACAGGGTCTGGCCCTCACGCTGGCGGCCGCCAGCCGTCCTCCGGGACAAGGCGCCCACAGAGCCCGCCGACGCTTTCCTGGGTCTCGGCGCCCAGATCCGACAACACCAGCACAGGGACGGCCTCCCGGGCGGAAGGCCCGTCCATTCCACTTGTGCTTCACCGGCTGGCCGCACCGGAGCGGTCAGAGTCCGCCGCGCACTCTGCGCCGAAGCCGAGCCCGGGGCGGCCTCCGGGCCGAGGTCGCCGAGCAGGGCGGCGCTCGTTAATACTGCAGCCAGATACACGTAATCTCTACCTTACAGACAACAGTGAGAGGATTGTACGGTACCATCACCAGACCCGTATTCTTTACAACTTTGGAGAATAAATGTCAGTCCGAGCGGACCGAGCTCACCCTTAGACTGTCGGCATACCATCTTTTTTCTTTTTTCTTTTTTCTTAATAAATTTTTATTAAAATGGCACTTGGCTGCCAATCTCTCAGGACCTAGAAATGTCGAGTGGGCGTGGCCTCTGGTGACCCAGCCCCGTTCCCCTGTGGGTGGGCGCCCACGCGGGCCCCTAAGAGCTGGCGGAGCCACGTCAGGGCACACGACGTCAGAATGGTCAAGGCTTTAAAACCACAATAGTGTTTGTGTTGCTTTCACCTCAGAGCACACTCCCAGCTAGTTTGAGCCCATCAATTCCATACAGAATCACATGTTAAAAACAAGTAAATCGAATGACCAAATAAATTAAAAATGTTTTAAAGCCCTGAGTTCATAGACTGCTTTTAGGAGATGTTTTAGAAAACACGGGACTGTTTAATGAGCAGCGGACAGATTTTGGCAAACCATAGCTCCGGCGACAGCGGGTCTCATACAGGTCTGCAGCTCAGGACGAGTGTGGAGTCCGGACGGAAGGCATTCTGGGAGGAGCCTCGGCTGAGTCCACGACGTCTGGGTCCACTGCTGGCTGCCACGGGGCTGGCGTCGGTTGGTCTGAGTGTCGCTGGTCTCGTGTGAATCCGACTCCGCACACAATCGTAAACACAACACGTCAAGCAAAGTACATGGTGCGCAGCGTGTCCTGGTGGACCTGCACCGCCTTGGCCAGTGCCTGGTGGTCCCGCCCGTTACTCTGCCCGGAGGTATGGCTTCCTTCAGCACTGGGGGAGGGACAGAGACAGCGGTCAGCGGGCCGGGCCACGCCCCCACGCTCGGCCAGGCCACGCCCCCACGCTGGGCCGGGGCCACCCACGACGGACAGCTGCTCACAGGTAGCAGCCAAGGCGCTGGGCTCGGGCATCCCGGCCTCTGCTGGCTCCGGCTGCTCCCCGTGGTCAGGAGAGGCCTCCACTCACCTGTCGTGTTCTTTGTCCACCAGGTGGTACCTGGCCCGGAAGGCCACCAGGTGAGCGTAGTACGCTGGCGCTGGGATGGACACGGAGCGTGTGCAGCGCACGTAGGTGTGACACAGCTGGTAGGTGAGGATCTGCAGCTCGTCGGAAGAGAAACGATTGTCATCCCAAAGCACGTGGTAGTGGGAAGGCCTGCTTGTTCCCTGAAAGCAGACGGCGGGTCAGAGGCGGCAGCACTCACCTGCGGGGCCGCCGGAGGCCGAGCCCAGCTCGCACGCTCGCACGCTCCTTACCGCGGACCCGGAGTTAGCGAGACAGATGGCGGCTTATTACGTCACGGCGAGAGCACCGGGACATGTATTCATCAGGCGTGTGAACACAGACTGCACACGCTTACTCAGATACACGTCAGAAGGGAAAAAACGCCAGGAAAACGTTTGTTCTGAGGACCATACCACCCACACAGGCCAGGTTTCTACAACCTTCCCTTTACCGGCGAGAAAAACCTCTCTGAAACTCACACACTAACACTTTAGGAGGGAGATGACACACGCGCGTTTATGCAGTGCGTGTAGCTTGAAATCTTTGGAACTGAAGGGAGCGGGAGCTGGCAGCCTCTGCCGGCGCAGACACTCACAGCTGCCGCCGCCCTGTCCAGCCGGCCCCGCTGCTGCTCACCCTGTGCTAGGCCCAGGGACCAGCGTCCCGTCCCTGCCCCACCCCACTGTGCCACTGGGGGGGCAGCGGGGCAGTCTGCGTCAGGGGGCCTGCCCCTCCAGCCCTGCTGTCTCAGCCAAGGACGTCCCCCCACAATCCCCAGAAGCTGTCCAGCTGCCACATTCACAGGAAATCTCAGGGTCAGGCCGCCTTCTCCGGGGAGGGTTTCGGACCCGAGCCCCTGTGCTGGGCGGCTGGAGACCCCTGGGACCACCCTCTTTGCCGAGACAGACGAGCCAGAGACACGGGTGACACGCGTGGACCCCGCCATGGGTGTGAGCTCCCCAGGCAGCCCCTCGTCCCTCACCACCTTTCCCTCCCGCCCTCCTCCCCGCTGAGTCCTCCCCGCCTGCTGAATGCCAGGCCCGGGGCCCTGCCCCACCAGTGCGCCTGCCTGGACCCGATCTCTGAGGTGCACCAGCTTCCGGCGGTCCCGAGCCCTGAGTGCCCGCTGAGTGCCCGCCCCGAGGGCACGCCGCCGTGTCTGCTGGGCCCGTGCCCACCTGGATGCCAGCGTGGCTGCACAGGTAGAAGTCGAACTCGGTCGGGTGGGTGATCTTCGTGTCCACGGTGGTGCCTGCTGGAATGTTCCCGCTCTTCCCGACCTTCAGGGACACAGGAGCGTCAGCCCGCCCGCCCGCCGCCCTGAGCCGGGCCGGGCCTGCCCCCACGGCCCGCTCAGTGCTGTGAAGTGACCCAGACACTGAGCCGGCTGCCGCTGAGGCTGCTGCCAACGGCCCTCTCTGAGCCACCCCCGGCCACGGTCACTACAGCCCGTCCCCGCGGACCCGGGGGCCGCCGAACGGGCTGGGCGCCGCCCGCTGCCCGAGACGCACCCGCTCGTTCTTGTCGGTGCAGAAGAGCCGCGTGTGGTGCCGCTTCTGCACCACGATGAAGGTGATGCCCGGCTGGTAGTCCTTCTCCAGCTTGATGCAGGCCTCGCGGATGGCCAGCAGCTCGTGGTGCAGCACCTGCCGGGACAGGGCGTCAGGCCGGGCCTCAGGGCTGCTGCCAGGAGACAGCACCGAGTGACACCAGCACGCGACACCGGCTGCAGCCCCTGCCTTTCGGAGCCTGTGCCGTGTGGGCCAGTGTGAGGAGATGGCGCGCAGAGCTGAGCACGGGCTGTGGAGGGCTGTGTGCTGGATGGAGGGCCACAGGTCGTGGGCAGCACAACACAGGCCGCCCGCCCGCCCCCCACGTTCGTCTGGAGCAGAGGGGGTGGCCGAGGAGAGACCTGGCTTAGGAGTCAGTAAGTCCAAACCCCACTCTGACACGAGGCGGCCGAGGGGCTGCGGGAGAGCCAGACGCCCGCTCCGATCCCGGTTTCCACTTGTAAGATGGGACCATCGACCTCGCAGACTGGCTGCCCAGACGCCCCTGGGGTCGGCACCAGGGCGGGAGGCACCGTCTGTCCTCAGAGACCCCCGGCCCGGCCCGGCAGCACCTCAGGAGGCCGGGAGCACAGAGGGGGCCCGGGTTCTGCGCAGGGCACTCAGCGGTGAGGGGCCCACCTGCTGGAACTGGCCCTCGGACACGCCGTCGCGGTAGAAGATGATGCGCGTGGGCTTGAAGCGCGTGGACTTGTAGAACTGGATGAGCAGCTCGCGCACCATGGCCGCCAGGTCCTGGATGATCTCCTGGCGGTGCTGCTGCACGCGCACCGTGGCGCAGTAGCGGTTGGGGTGGGCGTCCATGCTGCCCACGACCTGGGGCAGAGGAGGAGACTGACCCTGTGCCGGCGTGGAGCCGCCCGAAGACGCCGCCGCTGCCGCTCAGTCTGAGGGGCGGCCGAGGGCTCTGGACCGGCCCATAGGGACCGGCCCGGCCGCGCAGGAGGGCGAGGACTGTGTGTGGCTCAAGCCGTGCACACGCTTAGAACAGGGGCCGCAAGCCTCGGTCCCGCGTGCGGCCAGGCCCAGGAGCCGCCCGGGGACGGACAGCGGGCTGCCCTCACCGCTTCTCGGTGTGCTGACCGCCGAAGCCTCGGGCTTCCCGGCTGCTCTCAGGGAGGGCCCGGCCCTCTGGCCGCTGCGGGGCCGTGTCCCCTCCCCGTGCCCCCCAGGCCCGGGGCAGCGGCACTCACGGCAGCGATGGACGGCTTCTTCCCGTCCCCCGCGGGGGGGTGCGTGACGTCGGCGCCCAGGAAGATGACCGGCTGCTGGAACACGGGCGGCCTGCGGGAGGAGAGCGTGAGGCCGAGGCTGGGCAGGGCCCTGGGCGGCCAGCGCACTGGGCGGTGCTCTTAGCCACACATCAGAGCCACTCCCAGCACCGGCCGCCAGAGCTCCGGGAACCCGGGGGAGGGGGGCCAGCCGCTGGCACAGCGCTCACCGCGGGGACTGCCGGCACGGCCTCGCGGACGTCTGCCCCACCGGGCCGCGGTGCCTCCCGCCCGGCAGCGGAGCCACAGAGGCCTCGGGGGCCCCAAGCACTGCGGAGCCGCCCGAGCGGAGGGGAGGGGAGGGGAAGGGGTGCCGCCGCAGTGCCCCAGGCGTGGGCAAGCCCCATCCGCGCCAGCGTGTCCAACCACGGCGGCTCTGCCCCCGGACATCAGAAGCTGCGAGCTACCCCTTTCCCGGCGAGGGACCCGCGGCCACCGGACACTGTCCCCCTCACCGGCACCCCGCCCACCGCCCACTGCCCAGCCTGAGCTTCGGGGTTAGAAGGCTCCTACCGCCCCCTTACCCCCACCCCACCGCGGCGAGGCTGTGAGCAGCAGCGGGAGCACAGGCTCCGCCCCCTCCTGCAGCCTGCCTCCCGCCTGCACCCACACCCTGCGCCCCACTGTTGCTCCCACCCCAGTTCTGGAACATTCCCAACAGCACCCACTGCCGCCGTGACTCAAACCCGCTGCAGGCTCCACGCTCCTCCCACGCTCCCTCGCTCCCTCCCTCCCTCCCGCAAAGCTCCAGAAGCAGCAGGCGGGGCACACGGCCTCCCACGCTGCCATGGCAACAGACTCCTCTTTGCAAGGTCACTAAAGACCTGCACACCACCAGAGCAGCCTCAGGACAAACCTTGGGATCAGGACCCGCCCACTGACCCTCCCCTCCCTTCTCTGGCTCCACTGCCAGCTCCTAACCCCTGACCTGCACAACCTTTAGCCCCAGGCCCCCCCTCCCTCCTGTCTGCACCCTCCCCAGGGTTCCCAGCAGCCGGGCGCTCTAAGCCCCACCTCCACAGCAGGAGCCCTGCAACCAGCATCCCTGACCCCAGACTTCGTCTCCCCTCGAGGCCGACCCCAACCCCGACCCCGATCCCAACCCCCAGCCTCCAGGCGTCCTCACCACCAACGCTGCCTTCTCTCCCCACGGCCCGGGGCCTCAGACTCATCCTGGACGCCCCCTTCCCCTCAGCCAGACCCCTGGTCTCCGAGGCCCTGCCTCTGGGGTGACAGGAGTCCACTGTGCTTTGGGAGCCAGGCCAGCCGGGCCCTGCTCACCCCCGAACCTCCACCCGCCCCTCCTGCGGACACCGTCCGTCCGCACGGCTCTCCCAGCGCCCTCAGCTCGCCCTGTGCTGGCCTCGCCGCGCACACCGGCTGCTCACCCCCGAGCGAGCAGTCTCCATCATGGCTGGGCCGGGCCGGCCCACAGGGCCCCCCGAGCGCCCCCTGCACTCCCAGTCCACACACGAGCCCGTCAGGAGCCCGAGGACAGCCAGGGCGCAGGCCACGCCCGCCGGACAGTGGCAGCCGGCTCACCTGCCCTGTGGCAGCAGGATGTTGTTCACGCCGCCCAGCTTCACGTTGATCTTGAGGCAGAGGTTGGACAGCGTCTGCGGCGTGGTCCGCTGCACGTTCTTCATCTGCACGCACTGGGTGGCCATGCCCAGCACCGTGTCCCCCACGCGCTTCACCTCGGCTGCGGGGGCGGGGGTGCTCAGGCGGCTCTCCGGCCCGCCCGCCCCGCCCGCCTCGCCCACCCCACCCCACCCCGGGCTGGGAGACGGGCCAGGCAGGCTCAGAAAGTCAGAGCCTCTGGGTTCAAGTTTCTGCGCCAGCCTCGCCCTCACCCCTCGGACAGGAGAAACGGGCAGAGCCCAGCTGGAAGCCAGGGACTGGCACTCCTGAGGCAGAATGCCATCTTCGCCCCCAGCGCCCAGGACTCAGGACTTAACAGTGAACACCAGGAAGCCTGCGCACCCTCGGCCACCCCCATCTCGGCTCCCTCGGGACGCAGGCCACTCCTGCCCGCCGCCGCCTACCGTAGACGGGGGTCTTGCCCGGCAGGATGACCACCACCAGCTGCAGGCCGGTGTAGGTGTTCTTGAGGTGCCGGAACATGGGCTCCACGCTGTCGGCGCCCTGGGCGTACTTGCAGAAGCACGGCTGGCCCTGGATGGGCATCCCCGCGTCCCGCGAGATCTTCCTGAGCTGCTCCGTGAAGGACCTGGGGGAGGGGACCGCCAGGTGGGCCTCCGGGAGGAGTCCAGACCCAGCCCAGCGCCGCGCCGCGCACCCACAGGCGCTGAGGAGGCGCCCCAATAAACCGGAGACTCCCAACGGCCCCACGCTGCCCCCACCCCGCCGTGACACTCGGTGCAGAGTGACCGGTGCCGCGCCCACGCCCCGCTTCCTGAGACACAGCCGCCTGCTCCGGGGGGCACTGCCCGCGGGCCCACCCAGCTCCCCGCAGAGCAGAGGGAAGGGGCCAAGGACAGACCCAGGGAGGCCCGGCCCAGGCGCAGCCTCCGCTCGGCTCCCGGGTTCGATTCTGGCCAAGGCATGCACCTTGGTTGCAGGCACATCCCCAGTGGGAGGTGTGCAGGAGGCAGCTGGTGGATGTTTCTAGCTTTCTATCCCTCTCCCTTTCTCTCTGTAAAAAAAGTCAATAAAATACATTTTTTTAAAAAGAAAGAAAATAAGCTTAGTTCACAGAGTCCAGCTCTCTCTCGCCTCCTTTCCACACTTACTCCCATTTGCTGTTTTCTGTCTCCTGGGTGCCGCCCAGCAGGGGGGAGGCCACCCGCCCGCCCGCCCGCCCACCCGCCCGCCCGCCCGCCCTCCCGCCGCGGCCTGGCTGCCACAGGCTTACTTGAGGTGGACCTCGGTGCACTGGCGCTGGGGCGCGAAGCAGGCGATGGCCCACACCTTGATCTCGATGCCCGTGTGGAACTGCTTGTTCCTCATGTCCCACACGCCCTGCACCGGCGTGGCGATCGCTTTATTCTGTAAACGGAGACGGTCAGAGTGAGGACCGGGGAGCGCGGTCCCGGCCAGACGGGCTCCTGAGGCTCCGAACGGAATCTCTGTCGCCCACGCTGCAGGGCCCAGGCGGCTGCAGGGGGTGGACGGACAGACGGACGGATGGGTGGGCAGACGGGTGGGAGGATGACTGGCTGGGTGGAGGGAGGGGTGGGGGATGGGTGAGTGGATGGGTGGGTGGGTGAAGGATGAAGAGGTGAATGGAGGAGTGGCTGAGTGACAGGGATGCTCTGCAACACACGTCACACAGACACACAACTGCGGGGGCCTGATGGCTGGGATCTCCCTTTTCCGTGACCCGCACGGAAAGAGAGATGGATGAACCGGTTCTAAGTGGAGGCGCCAGGGATTGAGAAATATTAGAAATAAAGAGAGAAGACACAGATAGATTTTAAGCTGGGAGCTGGGAGGGCCATGACCTCCTCTGCTGGAGAGACAGACTGAGGGCCTCCTGAGCCACGCAGCAGGGCCCAGGTCCCACCCACTCCTTCCTCCTGGACAAACATAAGCCAGGAACTAAGAACATCTCCGAACTCCCAGGGCGGGAGTGCAACTGGCATGACCTGTCAACGTCAGGGGCCCAGTCAGCAGCAATCTATAGACGGTCCAGGCGTCTTCCCAGGTGGCCCTCTACACCCACAGGCTTCAGAGGAAATACCAAGTAAAAGAGCAAGCGGCAGGCGCATTCACTGTGCCGTCTGCAGCCGGGTGGCCTGGATCCATCGATTCCCAGCGGGGGCACCTGCCCAGGCTGAGGGCTCCATCCCCAGTAGGGGGCGTGCAGGAGGCAGTGATCAATGATTCTCTCTCATCGTTGATGTTTCTATTTCTCCCTCTCCCTTCCTCGCTGAGACCAATTAACAATGACATGAAATAACACGCCTTCCGCACAAGAAGGGGGAACGCCGAGGCCACCGGGCGGCTCCCTGAGGAGAGGCGGCCTCTCCCTGCGACCTTTTTGCTGCCTGCTGAGTCTTAAAACATCGAACATACGAAGGGAAAGACCCACAAACACGTCTACGCCGGCTGGTGGAGCTCCCTGAGCACACGGCCCTCGGTGAGGAGGCTCCCGGCTCCCGCAGCCCCGCCCGGCCGTGCACCGAAGGACCGGCCGCGAGGAGGGGGCCGTGCAGGAGCCCCATGGCTGGGAAGTCAGGCCTTTGCTTGCGCACAGATAAAAGCTGGGGGTCACATGCATGTGTGCCTAACCATGGTCATGGACAACGGGGGTGGGGGCGTACGTGGAGAGGGGTTTGGGATGGGAATGGGGGGATGAGGACAATTATGTGATACCATAATCAATAAATCAATAAAAAAAAAATTAAAACAAACCCAGCTGACCAACTGCTGCGCCCTGGTGGGGGACACCAGGCCCCGCCCGCCCTGATGGGGGTCACCCTGGCCCACCCCGCCCTGATGGGGGACACCCTGGGCCCAGCCCGCCCTGATGGGGGACACCCAGGTCCACCCCGCCCTGATGGGGGACACCCCGGGCCCACCCCGCCCTGATGGGGGACACCCCGGGCCCACCCCGCCCTGATGGGGGACACCCCAGGCCCAGCCCGCCCTGATGGGGGTCACCCAGGCCCACCCCGCCCTGATGGGGGTCACCCTGGCCCACCCCGCCCTGATGGGGGGCACCCCGGGCCCACCCTGCCCTGATGGGGGTCACCCTGGCCCACCCCGCCCTGATGGGGGGCACCCCGGGCCCACCCCGCCCTGATGGGGGTCACCCTGGCCCACCCCGCCCTGATGGGGGACACCCCAGGCCCACCCCACCCTGATGGGGACACCAGGCCCCGCCCGCCCTGATGGGGACACCCAGGCCCACCCCGCCCCGATGGGGGTCACCCTGGCCCACCCCGCCCTGATGGGGTCACCCTGGCCCACCCCGCCCTGATGGGGACACCCCGGGCCCACCCCGCCCTGATGGGGGGCACCCCGGGCCCACCCCGCCCTGATGGGGACACCCCGGGCCCACCCCGCCCTGATGGGGGACACCCCGGGCTCACCCCGCCCTGATGGGGACACCCCGGGCCCACCCCGCCCTGATGGGGACACCCCGGGCCCAGCCCACCCTGATGGGGACACCCCGGGCCCACCCCACCCTGATGGGGACACCAGGCCCCGCCCGCCCTGATGGGGACACCCCGGGCCCACCCCGCCCTGATGGGGACACCCCGGGCCCCGCCAGTGCACGTACCCGGCCCCCGTAGAGGATGGAGGGCGGCTGCAGGACCCGCCCGGTCACGTCCGTCATCTCATCCTTGACCATGATCCCAAACTCCCGGACATAGGGGTCGGTGTTGAAGCTCGCGCTCCTCATCTGGAAGGCGGGACGGGCAGAGTGAAGGTGTCTGCCCAGCCCTGGGCCGGCACGGACTGGCTCCCGCGGGCGCCCGCCCCGGCCGCCCCGGCCGGCCGCTCACCAGCTTGCTGATCTCCTCCTGCCGGTCGGGCGCCGACCGGGCCGTGGCTCTGATCATGGTTGAGGTCTGGTTGTCCGTCAGCTTCTTTATACATCTCTGTCCCGCCACGATGTTGCAGACCTCGAGGGGAAGGTAGGTGTGTTTCTGCTCCTGGCCGACTTGTAAACAGGGGAGGTGGGGGTAGCGCAGCACCAGCTTGTGCCGGTCCTTGAAGTACTGGGCCACCGTGCACTCCACCGTCTGCCCGCTCTCCTGCTGCAGCGGGAACCTGGGGAGGAGGCGCGGCGTGGGCGTGGCCGAGGCAGGGGCCCTCAGCACCCCACCCGGTCACCCGGGAACCGTCCCGGCCGTCCCGAGGCCCCGCCCCCTTCCCGCGCCTGCCCGGCAGCGATCCCCGGCACACACACCACAGCGGACACGGGCCCGCCCACGGAGACCCGCCAGAGGGAACGCCGGGCTCCAGGTCTGCGGCACCCTCGGCCACGGTGAGGGTGGGCAGGGCAGAGAGGGGGGTGCGGGGCTGTGGGACCTGCCCCAGCGCCCACCGGGCCAGGAGACCCTGCGGTGGGGCCGCGCCTCCTGCTTCTCCCCGCTGAACGCACACGCCCCAGGACACGCCGACCCCACGGCCTGCGGTCCCTCCACGGCCCTGATTGGCTGGAAGTGAAGCCAGGGCCGCTCAAGGCTAAGATGGGGCCACAGCCAAGAACTGGGGGGCGGCAGGGGAGAGAAGCCCGGGCTCCCAGCATCTCAGCACCGAGCTGGGCCGAGGAGCCCCAGGTTCCTTCCAAAGGGAGGTTTGGGGCCCCGGGCTAACGTCAAACCGATGGATCGCTTTCGAGTCCCTGTCCCGGGGCCTCTGCGGGGGGGGCGGGGGGGGCCGGGGGGGCAGGGGGGCAGGGAAGGTGGGGAGGGCGGGGGGAGGGCGGGGGGGGCAGGGGCCGGGGGAGCAGTTACGTTTGGTTGCTGGCCGGCCGCCGGGTCACGTTGCAGACGCGGTACTTCCTCTTCATCTGCCCACAGTGAGTGATCTCCACCTTCAGACCTGGCGACAGAGCAGCCCTCAGGGTGGCAGCCCTGCCCAGGCTCACCCAGGGAGGCCTCCGCCTGCACGGCCACGGCCAGAAGGGGGCGCTGGTGGTCACCCTCCTCCGCGCCCACAGGCGTGACCGCCCCGCGGAGAAGGGGGCTCGCTCGCCTGGGGGTGACCCGCCCCCGGCCCCAGGCCCGCACCCACCTTTGATTTCTTTGGTAAACTTGACCCTTTGGGAATCTGTCAGAGGTTTTTGTTGTTCTTCAATACTTTTAAAATCCAGAACTTCACAGACAAACTCGATGACGGGCTGTGCCTTGTAAAAGGCCGTCGCCGAGACTGGAGGGGAGACGGGCAGAGGGTGACGGCCGCCCGCCCTCGCTGGCCGCGAAGCCCACCCTCGGGCCTGGTCACGGGCAGCCCGGTCCTCCCTGAGGGGCTGCCGGAGGCGGCCGTCGCCCTTGGAGACGGACACCCCAACATTCCCAACCCGCCTGGAGCAGGCCCTGAGGGACCCCTGGGCGCAGTCTGAGAATCACAGGAGACGGGACAGCAGTGGGGGTCCACTCACCCCCCGGCAGACCCCTCCCCTCCCCGGGGGCTCGGCTCGGCAGCGGCCGGGGGGAGCTGGCCACACGGGCCCCGCGCGGCCGCAGCCCGGCCAGCCACCGGCCAGGGACAGGCTGCTCACCGTCGATGTTGAGCATCATCTTCCAGAGGGAGGGGCGGACGGACTGGTGGAAGCCGAACCACACCTCCCGGCCCCCGCCCAGCGGGTTGGAGCAGCCCTCGGAGGCGGTGAAGAAGGAGCGGCCCACGGGCGTGTACCTGCGGCAGAGGCTGAGCTCGCACTCCCCTCCCCCCTCCCCCCGGCGAGGGCAGGGGCGACGGGCGGGCCTGCGCCACGGCTCCTCGGGGCCGCCCGCCGTGGGGGGTGCGGACGGTCCCCCGGACAAGCCCAGTGTGAGGCCACAGAGGGCGGGACACGCCCACTCACCCCGCAGAGCGGAAACCAGCTGCACCCCACGGGGAGGGGCCTGCGGGCTGGGCACCCCGGGAATCTCTCACATGAAACATGTCCTGCTGACACTGCTGTGACTGCACCACAGGCGCACGCGCACGCACACACACACACACACACACGCACACACACACACACACACACACACACGCGCGCACACACACACACGCACGCGCGCGCGCACACACACGCACACACACACACACTCGCACACACACGCACGCGCGCACACTCGCACACACACACGCACGCGCACACACACACACGCACACACACGCACACACACGCACGCACGCGCGCACACACACACGCACGCACGCACGCACACACACACACACACACGTACGCGCGCACACACACACACACGCACGCACGCACACGCGCACCCACACTAGCGCTCCCTCAGACAAGGCGGCTCACCTCATGGACGGCAGGTGCCTCATGACCACGTCCAGGGCCTGGATGGTCTCGAAGGGGACACTGGGCAGCCGCCCAGACAGCGCGTCGTGGAGGGCCTGCAGGCTCACGCAGGACACCCACTTGATGGACACCTTGAAGATGCGGTCCTTCCCTTCGCCCGGCAGCGTGACCTCCAGCTCCACCTGGGGGCCCGGCAGGTCAGCTCGCCGCTTTGTCAACGGCAGGGGGCGCCTGCGGGGCCCTGGAGCTCTGTCCTGAGGGAACTCACTAAGAAGCCCGGGGCCCGGGGCCCGGTCCTGGCCCCCTCGGAGCCCACAGGCAGTTCTGCCGGGCCGGATCCCGGAGAGAAGTCTCCCAGGAAGCCGTGTGGTGAGCGTCCACCAGGAACCACCGCTGTGTCCCCCTCTCCTTCTCCCTTCCTCTCTGACACCAATGTACACATTCTAGGGCCCAGTGCATGGAATTCATGCACAGGGAGGGGAGGGGAGGGGAGGGTCACTCAGACCGGTCTGCACCCTCTCCCAATCCAGGACCTTTCGGGGAGTGTCCGTGGGATCGGGCCTAACCGGCAGTCGGATATCCTTCTCGCAATCTGGGACCCCTGGCTCCTAACTGCTCACCTGCCTGCCGATTGCTCCTAACCACTGGCCTGCCTGACTGATCACCCCTAACCACTCCCTGGGTGGGCAGGCCCGCCTGGCTGAGGGCCCTGGTCGTTCTGCTCGTTGCACTGTTTCAGTCACTGGGCTCTCTTTATAAAGGATGCTTTTTAAAAAGAGGATCTGACCAGGCTGTGCTGTCAGCTTCTGCGGGGACGTGTCTCCCATTTGAACAGGGTGGGGGACCCCCCCACTGCCAGGAAAGCCTGCCGAGCCCCGGGCGCAGGATGAGCTCGCGTGGCTCTCCCCCTCACACAGCCTCACAGAAACGAGCACCACACTAAACGCAAAGCTGTGCGCTCCGCACGGCTGTCTGCAGGGGGCGCACCTCCCACGCTGGCAGGCAGGGTCCTGGCACCCCCCGGGACATCAGTGCCATCAGCCCATGCCAGGCAGTGCCCGTGCTATCCGGGCCGTCAGCCTTCAGCGGAGCCTTATCACCCAGCGGCCTGGCCCCGCGCCTCTCCTATCGGCCCCCCCAGACCGGAGCCGCCCGCCTGCTGCCCCCACCCCGCGGGCAGAGCGCCGCCTCCTCAGGGCTCAGAGACGGAAGCCACCCGCAGCCTGAGGGCGCCCTGCGGTCAGCCCGGAGCCGCCAGCTCTCCTGCCGGACGCCGAGCAGCCGTGCTGACCGCTGACCGACCTGCCAAGTGCCAGCTTCTCGGCAGGAACCTGGCACTTCAGGCAGAGCCCTGGCCCGGAGCACACAGGCCTCCGGGACCCGCGAGGCTGTCCCCTCAGTGGACCGCGGCTACAGCAGAAGTCGGCCTGTTTCACTGCCACGGACAGTGGCAGCGGCACCTGCCCAGGGGGCCTGTCTCACACTGGGAAGCCCAGTGGTTTCCACTCCTGTCTCCGGGCTCTGGGAGGGTCCTGACGGCCGGCTGCTCCCCACGGGGTGGTTCCACGCAGCCGGGGGCGGGCCAGGCCCAGCACTCACCTTCTCCCGCCCGATGGGCAGGGGCATGGCCGTGTACAGGTTCTTCCTCCCGTCGAACACAGGCTTCCGGTCCCCGAAGATCTGGGTCTTAAAGTGCTGCACCATGTGCTCCACGATCTCCCTACGGGAATGGGGTTCGAGCCGTGGTCCGTCAGAGGGAGAGACGCGGGCGGCCCCCTCCCCCCAAGGGCCCCCCAGAGCCCGGCGCCATCCCGGCACGGCCCCTCCGCCGGCTCCTGAATTCCTCAGACCCCGAGTCCGCCTGGGTATCAGGTCAGGCACCACCCGCACCTACAGGCCACAAGCACCCGTAGGTGGTGCCGTCGGTCCTGGGCCTTACAGCAGCAGACCCGGGTTCACAGGGGCTGCTCCCATGCGGGGCCCAGGCACCACGGCCACGTGGAGCCACACCAGCGGAGGCCCGACCCCGGCCCCGGGCAGGGGGGGAGGGGGGGAGGAGGAGCAGGGCCACGCTGGCCTGTCTGCCAGCACCTAGGGCGGCAGGAGGCACCTCGATTCAACTCACCGCCACCCACTGCGCTCACACACTGCCTCGCCAATCAAGCCGGACGGCCATGCCCTGCCTGACCTGAGGCCCTCCAGGCAGACGTGGAAGGTGGACAGCACTGGCCGGCAGGAGGCCCCCAAGCTCCGCCCACCAGGAACCGGCAGCTCCAGCTCCCGCTGTGGCCAAGGGAGAGGCCAGTGCTGAAAGCGGGGCGGGGGCGGGACGGGGGCGGGGCGGGGGCGGACGAGGACCTAAAGCCTGCCCCCACGCAGGGGCCTGGGCAGCCCTGCCCGCCAGGAAGCAATAACCACTCCTCTCCCGGGAAACCGGTCAGCCCGCCTGGCCCTGCCCAGCCGGCCGTGCACGGTGCCAGTCCCGGGACCACGGGAGTGGGCGGACCGAGCTCTCCCCCCATCGCCTGGATGGCACCACCAGGAGCACACCAGGCCTCCCGGCCTCGCCTCCACCCGGAGACCACAGCCCCGGCAGCGCCAAGTGAGGCCTCCGCCAACGCCACCCCGTCCCCAACCAGCGGCGCCTCCCGGGCGCTCTGGCCACTGCTCCCCGGACCTCCCGGCCGTCTTCACGCCGAGACCTCACATGGCCTCCAGGTCCGGTGGCTCCGCTGGGAGGGCCCCTCCCCCCCCCCCCCCCCCCCCGCCAGAGAACAGATCACCCCACACCCAAGCTCACCGTGAACGAATGGAAAGGGTGTGTCGCCCGACCATCCCGAGGCCAGCAGACTTTCATCGTTTAAAAATGCACTTTATCACTAATTATCCGAGAAATGCAAATCAAAACAACAATGCGGTACCATCTCACTCCTGTCAGAATGGCCAACATCAACAAATCAACAAACGACAAGTGTTGGCGAGGTTGCGGAGAAAAAGGAACCCTCGTGCACTGCTGGTGGGAATGCAGACTGGTACAGCCACTGTGGAGAACAGTGTGGAGCTTCCTCAAAAAACTGAAAATGGAACTCCCATTTGACCCGGTAATCCCACTCCTAGGAATATATCCCAAGAAACTAGAAACACCAATCAGAAAGGATATATGCACCTCTATGTTCATAGCAGCACAATCTACAATAGCTAGAATCTGGAAACAGCCTAGGTGCCCGTCAGCAGATGATTGGATCCAAAAACTATGGTACATCTACACAATGGAATACTATGCTGCCATAAAAAAGAAAAAATTCTCATCGTTTGCAGCAACCTGGATGGAATTGGAGAACCTCATGCTGAGTGAAATAAGCCAGTCAATGAAAGAGAGACACCACATGACCTCACTTATTTATGGATAATAAAGAACATTATAAACTGAAGAACCAAAAGATAGATATAGAGACAGTAAAGCAACAAGCAGACTGTCAAATTACAGCGGGGAAGTTGGGGAGATCTGGGGGAGATAAAAGATCAACCAAAAGACTTGTGTACATGCATATAAGTACAACCAATGGACACAAAACTCTAGGGAAGGAGGGTATGTACGGGAGGGGGGGGGCATTGGTATATGTACAAAAATAATAATTTAATAAAAAATAAAAAATAAATAAAAATGCACTTTATTGACGTCGAGAAGAGGGAGAGGGAGAAACACCAACAATGAGAGAATCACCAATCGCTGCCTCCTGCAGGCCCCACACTGGGGATGGAGTCTGTCACCGGGCCTGTGCCCTGAGTGGGATCACACCCTGACCTCCTGGTTCATAGGTCAACGCTCTATCACTGAGCCCGCCGCGGCCAAGGCCAGCCAAGCTTTTATCTCGACAACGACCAGGTGATCGGGCCGATCTCACCGATAAACAGGGTGAGAAACTGGCATTAACAAAAGGAATCCACAGCACGTGTCGGGGTTGGGCACAGCCAGGAGTGAAAGGTCGGGTTTACGGCGAAGGTAACTATGGCCACAAATCACACGCTGAGTAAAAGCCAGGGCCACAGACCCAGAGGGACAGGAGAGAGAAGTCCCAGCTGTGGAAGGAAAGGAGCCGGCCCAGAGCAGCAGGCTGTCCTTAGGAGACACCGTCACTTACGGACAGAAGGCAAGCACGCCTGGGGGAACACGCAAACACCCCCCACACCGGGCGCCATCACAGCCAGGCCGGCGGGGCGGCGGAGAGCGGGGCAGAGCCCAGAGCCCGGAGACCGGCCGTGGGCACTGCATTTGCGACAGAAGCAGCAGGAGAGGAGGTGAGGCGGCGGCTCCGGTTCTCAAAGCAAAAAACGGGCTGTGCCTGCTCCCCTCACGCCGGCTGCGGGCAGGCCGCACCGGAATGCCAGGCCCGGCAGCCAGCTGGCCCAGGGACTTAGGGAACCGCTGGTCAAAGGACTCTGCTCCACCATGACAGCCGGGCACTGATGGGCACCGTTCTCCGGCCGTGGCACAGCCTCCAGGCATGTATCTGGGTCTCCCGGCACACTGCCCGCAGGGAGCACAGTGCGTCCCCCCGGGGACAGACAGCCCAGCCTGAACCAGTCCTTGCTGGCGCCCACCCATTCCAGCTCAGCCTCCTCGGCCAGTGCTGACCGCAGCCCCACCGTCTGGCTCCTCCCCACCTCACCCGGGCCAGTGCCCTCCCCCGCGAGGAACTGCCCAGACGGGTTCCGCACAAACACGCCCACATGTTCCCGCTCTATTCTGACTGTGATGGAGGCCTGAGCCAACTGCACCCGAACCAATCCTATACCACGAAGAGCTAGCGTGCACGCGTCGTCACGCCCTCGGGCAGGGCCCGAGGACCTGAGGCCAGGCCCCCCACCCTGCGGGCCTCGACGGGGGTTGGGGCAGCCGGGTCTGGGTCTCGTGTGATTTCGAAGTGTGTGTGTGGGGGACTTGACTCTGGTTCCCGTGGTGCACCCCAGACTCTGACAGGAGGGAGATTTCATATACACTTTACTAATTGTTTTCATCTCTGACACTTCTATTACAGAGAAAGGGCAAATAGCAGTATTAAATTATTTCCTCTAATTAGTTCCTTTTTAATGTGCACGAATTCTGTGCACCGGGCCACTAGTAGTAAAATAAAAAACCCCGAAGCTCACACACTAACCAGATGGAACTCCCAGGCTCCCACCCGGGTGGGGGGGCAGAGGACACACGGACATGGCTGGGTTTGGGGGGCAGAGGACACACGGACATGGCTGGTTGGGGGGCAGAGGACACACGGACATGGCTGGTTGGGGGGGGCAGAGGACACACGGACATGGCTGGGGGGGGCAGAGGACACACAGACATGGCTGGTTGGGGGGGCAGAGGACACACGGACATGGCTGGTTGGGGGGGGCAGAGGACACACGGACATGGCTGGGTTTGGGGGGCAGAGGACACACGGACATGGCTGGGGGGGGCAGAGGACACACAGACATGGCTGGTTGGGGGGGCAGAGGACACACGGACATGGCTGGGTTTGGGGGGCAGAGGACACACAGACATGGCTGGTTGGGGGGGCAGAGGACACACGGACATGGCTGGGTTTGGGGGGCAGAGGACACACGGACATGGCTGGGGGGGGCAGAGGACACACGGACATGGCTGGGGGGGCAGAGGACACACAGACATGGCTGGTTGGGGGGGCAGAGGACACACAGACATGGCTGGGTTTGGGGGGCAGAGGACACACGGACATGGCTGGTTGGGGGGGGCAGAGGACACACGGACATGGCTGGGGGGGGGCAGAGGACACACGGACATGGCTGGTTGGGGGGGGCAGAGGACACACGGACATGGCTGGGGGGGCAGAGGACACACAGACATGGCTGGTTGGGGGGGCAGAGGACACACGGACATGGCTGGGGGGGCAGAGGACACACAGACATGGCTGGGTTTGGGGGGCAGAGGACACACGGACATGGCTGGGGGGGGGCAGAGGACACACGGACATGGCTGGGTTTGGGGGGCAGAGGACACACGGACATGGCTGGGTTTGGGGGGCAGAGGACACACGGACATGGCTGGGGGGGCAGAGGACACACGGACATGGCTGGTTGGGGGGGCAGAGGACACACGGACATGGCTGGGGGGGGGCAGAGGACACACAGACATGGCTGGTGGCTGCCAGAGGCCCGCTCAGGGTCTGCCTTGGCTGCTCTGCCTCGGGGGAATTTCTAGTGCGTAACCTTCAAGCCCATTGGGCACAAGTAACAATGTGGCAGCCGGAGGGAAGACACGCTGCTTTCATCACTGCCAAGCGCTCCTCACAGATAACGCTGGCGGCTCAATAGGACCCACTGCCCGGACCATCAGGGGCCCTCCGCCAGCGAGAGTCCTGCCCGGACTCACACAAACCCACAAGCCCCCAAACCTCCAACAATTCCTCCTTCACAGACACAAACTATCACAACTAATACAGAAAGAAATGAAAAAAACTGAATCTCCGAAAAGCTGATAAACCAAATTGCTGCCCAGCCAGCGTGGCTCAGTGGCTGAGGTCACGGTTTGAGTCCGGGTCAGGGCCCAGGCCCAGGCTGCGGGGTCCATCCCCTGGAGGGGGCGTGCAGGAGGCAGCCGGTCCATGGTTCTCTCGCATCATGGGTGTTTCCATCTCCCTCCCTCCCTCTTCCTTCCTCTCTGAAACCAATAAGAACATGTTCGAAAGTGTTCAATTTGGTGGCTTTAGCAGATCAGAGAGCTCGGCAGCAGTGGCACCACGTAAGTCTTTAACACCCTCGTCCCCCCCAAACCCCATACTCACTAGCAGCCACTCCCACCCCTAGAGAAACGGAACGTTAAAACACAGCTTACATAACAACATAACACACCGCAGGACAGATGAGGCGAGGCCTCCAGCCGCACGTGAGGATAACTGCGAAGGAAAAGGGAGCGTACGTGTGGAGGGCCCATGGCAACCCCCCGACTAACGACAGGTCAGGCGCCCCAGGGACAGGACGCCTGGCTCTCTGGTCATTCATGAACACACACCACGTCCCCGGAGGGACAGGCTGGTCAGAGCAGAGAAACACCCTCTAATGACCCTCGCCTCACACCGTACACCACCGTCCCTTCCAGAGGGACCAGGCTCCACACAAGCCACACTGCCATCTTGTAAAGAACAGAGTGAGCCAGGAGGGTCGCTGTTCCCTCCGGGCAGGCACACGTTCCACGCGGTGACCACCTTCAGTTTGCCAGCTGCGCCTCGGAGATGTGGCACGCTCTGCGCACTGCAGACGCCATCTGTGCAACGGCCAAACCCGCTGTGCTGCACCCCAAGTCCCGCCTGCGCCCAGAATACACCAAACCCTCCAACCCGGGGACGAAGGACCAGCAGCCCTGAGACCGGGGAAAACGGGCCGACAGGGCGTGGAGCGGGGCTGGGAGGCGCCACAGCCACAGCCACCCTGCGCCCCGCAGCCCCCTCCTTGAGATGCGTCCGAGGGAGACGCAGACATGCTGGTCACAAACAGGCTGGTTCACAGCAGCTTCGGGCAGGCCGGGCGCCAAGCCCCGAACAGGAGGAGTGACTCATGAGGAACCGGCCCTGGCCCGTGTGGCTCAGCGGGTAGAGCCTCCACCTGCAGAGTAAAGGGTCCCGGGTTCTATTCCGGTCGAGGGCATGTGCCTCGGGGGCAGGTCCCTTCCCGGCCCAGGCCGTGGCCGGGCTCCTGCAGGTGCCAATCATGTCTTTCTCACCTCAAGATTTCTCTCTGTCTCTCTTCTGCTCTCTCTAAAATAAAAAAAACATCCTCAGGTGAGGATTAAAAAAAAAAATAAGTAAATGAGTGAAATATGAAATATTCACGTCAGATGGTCCTGAGCAGGAAAACAAGAAGCTCTTAATACGAGGATGCTGGTCCATCTCAGGAACACGGGCGGTTAGAGGATGGGCCCCGCTCTGGGGTGGGCATCTGTGTGCATCCGTCAAAGCTCACGCAAGTGCGCCCTGGAGGCACACTCACCGCACCGGACACACAACGCTTTTCACAACATCAGTGCGACGCGACGGAGCTTCCGGGGGCCGTGGGAGGCCGCACTGAGGACCGAGCCGACCAGCAGGCAAAGTTCACACCGACCGACCGACCGACCGACCAACCGCCCGCCCGCCCGCCGCGGTGAGGGCAGGTACCTGTTCACTCTCCGCGGGCACTTCTCCGGCTTGATGTCCAGCTCGTAGTGGTAGATGTCGATTTTCGGAATGTCCATCTCGAAGAAGTTGGCCTGCAGCTTGATGGTCCTCCCCGAGGTCCCGAAGTCGGGCCGGGGCGGCGGCTTGAAGGCATAGCCCTGGAGCGGGGGCGGCGCCGGGGGCGCGAGCACTGCAAGGCCGAGGGCACGTCAGCGGGACGGCGGCAGGGCCGCACCCGGCGCCCCTCCCCGCCCTCCTGGCTCTGCCCAAACCCCGGAAATGGTGCCTTTCCTCTGCCCGCCCACCACCAAGACCCTGCCCACCTCGTCCCCGTCCACCTGCCTGTCCCTCCGCCACCGCCCGCCCCTCCGCCGTGCTCACGGCCGTGTCCTGCAGGGACCCCAGGAGCCTCGGCCGTGCTCGCTGCTTCCAGGCCGAGTGTCTGAGTCCCTCTCGGCTCCCCAACCCGCCCCCGAGGCATGTGCAGCCCCACCCGCCCACCCAGCCCCGGTCCGCATGGGGGGGGGGGGGTGCGGACGGGCCGTCAGCTCCTCCAGCACCGCTCCTCACCCCCGCCCGGTGTGGAACAGGAGCGGCTCCGAGCCGGTGCCGCACAGGAGGAGCGATCCCATCCCCCACTCACCCCGAGGCCACGGCGCCCAGGGGCGAGGAGGGGTCACACGGAGCCTGCCCTCCATCCCGGCCAGCCACCCGCTCCTCCGTGGCTCCAGGCCTCGCCGCTGTCCAGGGCCCCATAAGCACGGCCCCACACCCGTCTTGTGGAAACCGAGACTCAGCACCCCTATCTACACCTCCCTGCACCACAGACAGCATCTCCACAGCCAGCCGGCGCCGGCTGAGGCTCCCCCTGCTCGGCCCCCTCGCCTGTCCCCTCCCTGCACAGCAGGCGGGACGGCGGGAGCCGTGAGCGCGGCAAGGAGAGGGCCGAGGCGGCACCACCACTCACCCCGACTGCCCTGTGCGCCCGAAGGAAGCTGTGCGGGACCCTTAGAGCAGCGAGGGCTGTGCTTCCAGCGTCCATGTGGCTCAGCGGACAGAGCGCCGGCCGCGGACGGAAGGGTCCCGGGTTCGACACCGACAGGGCACAGGCCCGGGTCGCAGGCTCCATCCCCAGTGGGGGGCGTGCAGGAGGCAGCCGACCCGTGATTCTCTCTTCACTGATGTTTCTCTCTCTCCCCCACCCCTCCTCTCTGAAATCAATAAAGATATATTTTTAAAAAATAGAAGTGTGATTTTAGGAAACTCCCCCCAATAACAGAATGCTTTTAGTTTTCACTCCAGTGTCTGGTTTCTCAGTCCTCCTCATTAGACAACACCTGCGTCCATGGCAACGCGCGACGGCGGGCGGAGCCGCCGCTATCAGCTGGCTCCTCGGCTTGTTTTGTTTTCTCTCGGGGAGAGCCAGGGTACTGGCCCCGGAGCTCCATCTGGGAGCCTCAGGCCCCCTGCCGTGACTTCACACATGACACACGCACAGATTGCACAACACACGTGCGTGCCGGCCGCGGCCGGGGCCAGGGACACAGAAGCACGGCTCTCTCCGTGCTCACGTGTCGCCTCCCGGGACCCGGGGCGGCCAGCAAGCGGCCATGGTACGTCTGCTTTGGAAGCCCAGCAGGTCACGTGACCCTGCACCAGGGCTCCTGCCCTCCCCCACCGTCCCACCCCCACCCCCGCCGGGCTGAAGGCCTGACCGCACTCACACCTGAGCCCACACAAGGTCAGGCCTGGGGCCCACGCCTCAGGGGAGCCGGCTTTCCCGCCAGCCCCACACCCGCTCCTCCGGGGGTTCACCCGGGAACCCCAGCGCCTTAAACAGCGCGAACAGCCGACGGCGACACGGCCCACCCAGCCCCCCAGGTGCTGCCCTTCCAGCTTTTAAAGATGATGTTTTTATTGATGTCAGAGAGGAAGGGAGAGAGAAACAGCCACGATGAGAGAATCACTGGCAGCCTCTGCACCGAGGCCCCTGCAGGCGCTCGCTCTGCTCCCAACGGGCGGGCGGGGGGAGGAGGGCGTCTGCACCGTCCACCCTGGCCCGTCCACGGTGGGAGCGTGTCCAGGGGCCCTCGGGAAGTCAGAGGGGCGGGAATTTGCCCCAAAGGAGGCGGGACCTCCGGGCGCACAGGACACCAGCTGTTGGGGGACCGGGCCTCCCACACACCCCGGGGGAGAGGCCCAGAAACCACGAGGCGACAGGTCACCGAACGAGCTCGGCACCGAGGTCGCCTCCAACAAGATCTACAAACCGCAACCAAGAAAGGAGACACCCCTCCCCGCCCCCCCTCCGTCCGATGGGGCCCCGGCCCCGCCCTGCACGGAGGATCCCCGCGCCCCCCACCCTCTGCCCACGGCGCAGGGTCCGCCGAGTGTTTCCGTAAACGTCAGTCCTGCTCTGCGGGGGACCCCTGGCCGGTGAGGCCGGCTGTGCTGCGCACGCTGGTCCCCGCGGAGCAGAGCACAGCGTGCGGGAACCAGCGCACACGGCCTCGGGGAGCGGGCTGCGGGCTCGATCCCGGTGGGGGCGTGCAGGAGGCAGCGGATGGATGATTCTCTCTCCTCACTGATGTTTCTCTCTCCCTCTCCCTTTGGGGGAAAAAAAAGCAGCTTTTAAACAAATCCTGCTTTTAGAGGCGGTTCCATCAGAAAGGGAAACACAGTGAGTGAGTCACGCTTCCCGTGCGTAATGGTCGCAGCCCCGAGTCTCCGAGCTTCGCCCCATGAGGACGGGAGGGAGGGCAGGGAGGAGACGGGGGGGGGAGGGGGGGCGCCTTGGGCGTGGGCAGGGGGCTGCAGTTGGCCCTCGGCGCCCTGCCCAGCAGAGCCGCACTGCCCTGCAGGGACCTGTGCTCAGGCCCGCCCTCAGGCCCCCCCACCACAGGCGGCCCAGGCGGAGCCGGCTGAGGTGTGGGGACTCCCCCCGGGCGGCCCAGGACCCCCAGGAGGTGGCCCAGTGACAGTCTGGAAGCACCTGCAGCAGGAATGGGGGGGGCCAGGCCCAGGGGGAGAGCTCACGGGGCCGAAGCCCAGCCCAGTTTCGGCCTCAAGGGAGTGGCTGGGACCCACGGCGCATCCAGCCAGGACGCACAGGCACACTGACCTCCCTCGTGGACCAGGAGCCGGCACGGAGCTGGCACGGACTCGCAGGCCCAGCGGCAGCCTCTCGCCCAGGAGCCCTCCCCGTGCTCCCCACGGCTCCGCTCCCTCCAGCCCCCCTCGGCACCGGGGTGGCCAGGCTCCGGCTGGCCCCTCACTGGCGGATGGTCTGTCACCTGTCCACCTCCCAGCCCCCCCCCCCGCGGGGTGTCTGTGCCTGGAAAACCTTCTCCCCAAAGGCCCCCCCGAGCCCACGGCTGACGAGGGCCCTCCCCCAAACCGGCTCGGAGCAGAGAACCCGGGTCCCAGTTGCTGTCCCCCACCCCGTGCCTGGCCGTGCAGAGGGCAGACAGCAGCGCCCACCGCAGGCCGACCGCTGCCTCCGCGGCTGCCCGGGAGCGACCCCGAGGTGATGGGCACCGTGTCCTGCTGCCATGACAACGCTGCCCTGCTCCACACGCCGCCCACCCTGGGGCGCGAGTCGGGAGGCAGAAGCGGACATCTTCCCGCCGTGGCAGCGCCCAGCGGCCAGGCCGGCCCGGAGGCTTGGGGCAGGGGCCCCCGTGCCCACCCGCTGCCCAGGCCAGCCCCGGCCAGAGCTCCATGTCCACCCTCAGCACCGGAGACAGGTTCAGCCTGCCATGCTGGCAGGGCTGCCCTGGGACCTCAGGGGCCTCGGCTGAACCCCCCCAGCCCCCCCATCCCCCCCAGCACCACCCAGCACACAGAGGTCCTGGCCCCAGGGACACGCCAGAACTAAACCACAGACAGAGCCACAGCTACCCTGGAGACGGGTGGGGGCACAGGGACTGCCCCCCCCCCCCCCGCCTGCTCGGAGCCAGCGATTGCGGCTGGCAGCTGGCTGCTGGCTGAGGGGAGGTGTGGGGGGGGGCGGTGAAGGGGGCCATCAGGGAGCGGCCATGAAAACACCGGAGGAGGCGGGCACAGGCTTCCCAGAAGGGGCGGGGCCGCTCACTCCAGGGGTGTCCGCGTGGTGACGAACAGCCTGGTCACTCCCCTCCTCCGCCCGGGCAGGCCCCCCGGGGTCACAGGGTTGGTCTCTGGATGGGAATGTGTCACCTCCAGATTACTGTAAGCCCCTCATTTCTTCCTCTCGGTGACACTCGGTGGGAAACTCCGGTCTGTCTGTCAGCCTGGTTCTGGGCGCACACACATACCACACACACACACACACACACACACACACACACACACACACGCCCCGGGGGCCCCCGAGCCCGGCTCACTGCGGAAACGCCTCCCCCGCGGGGGCGGTGAGTAACGGGCTAAAAATATGTCGGCTCCGTGTGGCCACGTGGTGTGCGCTTAGCATGACACACGGCGGGGTTAGTCACACACAGTGCATGCCTCGCCGTTCCTGTCTCTGCTCCGCTCCAGGAGCTGCCGCGGGGTCTTCACTGGGCTGTACGGTCCGACCCGGCCCCGGGCCTCTGAACCAGGGCCCTTCGAGCAGCAGTTCCCAAAGGCAGCGAGCATTTCCCTGTGGAAACTGAGAGAGGGCGGGTGGCTCTGCCGCACCGCGCCCCAGCGCCACGCGCCCCGGCTCCAGGCTCAGGCCGGCCACGGCCCTCGGCTCGGCCTGCGGGTCCTCCCGGCTCGGCCTGCGGGTCCTCGGCAGAGGGGTGTGTGAGGGGAAGGGGGAGCATGAGGAGGGAGGATACGCCCTCGCAGCCACACGAGCCCCAGGAGAAGCCTCTGCCACTCGGTGCGAGTGATCAGGACAGAACCCGAGGCGCCCCTGAAGCCGGCGCCGGTTCTCCCGAGGGTGAGGTGCCCTCGGCGTCGCCAGGAAGCCGGCGTGGCCTCGCGGGCAGGCCTCACGGGACAGCCACACCGCAGGAGGTCCCCGTGGTGCCCGCCGGGCCTGGCCACCTGCCTGGGCACCCACTGGGCAGGGCAGGACGCAAACCGGGTCCTCCCCGCAGACCCCGGCCTGAGATGCAGGCGAGAGCCACAGACCCCCCACCCCCACCGCAGAGGGCGCCCACCGGCCCCGCAGGAACTGCGGCCCCGACGCCGCCCAAGCCCGGCCCTGCGCCCGGCCGCAGTCTG